TAAGCTGCCATGCTAGAGAAGCCCACATGACAAGGAACCAGCCAGATCCAGCCAAGAGCCAGCAAGGTACTGAGGATCTCATTCCAACAGACTTTGAGGAACTGCATCCTGCCAGCAGCTATGTGAATGAGTATGGGAGTTGGTCCTTCCCCAGTCAAGCCTCCAGATGAGAATGTAGCCTCAGCTGACACCTTAAATGCAACCTTGAAGCAGAGAATCCAGGTAGGCCTCTCCCGAATTTCAGACCCACAAAGCCATGAGATAATAAGTACGTATTTTTTAACCCACTAAATTTTGTTAATATCCATTACACAGCAATAGATAATTAATGCACCCCTCAATTACTGTAACCTTGGGGTAAAATGTTGCATGTCTAGGAAGGCAGGCACCATATAGGAGGACAGTGTCCTTGGCAACATCTCTGAGGGCCACTGTCTTCATGCTCAACGACTATCCCATGTACTCATATGTTGAAATGGTATCATTGGGCCTGAATAGCCTCCAGGAGGTGAGGCCTAGCTGACATAGTGTCCTACCCAACAAATAGTTTGGGAGGAGATGAAAGAGAGTTTAAATCAAGTTCTAGACTTTAAGGGTTTTTCTCACTATTTGTAAAGGCCTGAAGATTTTCAGAGTAAGCACGTTATACTTCTTATGAAAAAAAAAAAAGTATATGTATTAAATACAGGATATCAGAGCAGGATCAAATAAAGGACCCCAGGATAAAACTGAGAAGACCACTGTCCGGCTTTGTACAAGGGACTGGTGTACTTGTAGAAACCAAAAGCGTTAACTACTAAAAGTTGAACGCACTGCTTCCTTTCCCTGATTGCAAGCCCCAGCCCCGGTCCCAGTGCAGCACACAGAGAACACCACTCTCTATTAGAAAAAAAACATTTATTGAGGAGGATTAATATTCTTGGTTGTGCTGAAGGTTGTTCTCATCAGAGGATATATTGTCATGAAAATTGTGAAACTTTCTCAATAAGGACTGAATGATTTCTTTAGGGAAATTTTTCTCCCTGCAAGTGCTGGAGAAGCATTTTCTGCCTGAGTAGAAGAGTCAAATCGCTAAACACAGTACTTTCATCAGGGTCACCCCTGGTGGCCCAAAGGACCTGGCATACTTGATGCACACAGGTGGGGCTTGGATGAGGCACAGACTCTCCAGAAGGCAGAGAAGAAGGGCATTGACTCTGGCTTAATAGCTGATTCTCAAAGGCCTCAGCTTTCTGGGGCTGTCTGACCCTATCTCTGTTCTGTCTGATTCTTGTAGTACTTTTCTGTGCAGCACAGACAGCTTCTTGGCTGCAGGACTTGATACTTGCCTGTTTCTCTTGTTGTAGGTCAGAAAGAGCCCAATATTTGAAGGGAGGTCTCTTGTCAGGCCCTACCTGGGCCTGTAGTTCCTCCTGCTGCTGGCCTAACTCTGAGGCCTCACATCCATGCATACATACCTCCTTCTCTTCTAGGACCTTCACAATGGTAGTGAACTTCTGAGCTTCAGGAGGCTGATCACTCCCAAAAGTAGCCACACTTTCAACTGGGTCTTGGTCCTGCACTAAGTTGGCCATGAACTTGGCTTTTTGCTGGGGACTTTCTTGATGCCCTGTGATTTTTTTCTTGGAATTGATCCACTGAGAAAATTGCCTCATCTTTTTTCTGAAGTAACTTTCAAGAGGAAACTGTTCATTCTGTGACAGAGTTGACGAAGCGCGCTGTAATTTTCTGTCCTCAACATGGAGGCTCTCCTCTCTGCCTGCAGATGTCCCTACTCCTGAGTCCTCACTTCTGCATTTTCTTGCTTTGGGATCCTGAGGTCTCACTTTCTTTGCACTTCTTCTTTGTGAGAAATTCATAGGCTGGCCCTTACAGAAGGCCAGCTTCAAGCCCAAGGATTCCTGCTGCTCCTCCGTGCTAATTCTGCTGTCCTTCAGTTGGATATGCAACACCTGGGATGCTTCCATGTCCCCACTGCACACACTCTGGGACCGAGTCAGTGAAGCCTTGGAAGTCAAGCTATCTGAAGGAAGGCGCATGTCAGTGGAACATCCTTGAGCCTGGTTATCCTCCTCACTCTCCAGTTTAAACTTTAACTCACTCAGGATCTGTCTTTTCAGGTCTGATAGTTTAGAATCTTGGGGAACCAGTAGTTTTGGTGAGGGGTGTTCCGTGGTCATGGCAGTTTCTACTTTATTCATGTTGACATTTATCATTTTGGAGCTTCTCAACTCACTGCTTGTCAAGATTTCCCAAGATTGGGATTGAAAGGTACACAACTCCTTGGTGTCGAATATATCCCTGGACAGGTTGGGCATGGCAAAGTGTTGTAAATTCTTCTCGACCATCACTTTGCCCTGTTCCATTTCTATTCTGTTACTGGAACTCACATTCTCATATGTTGGCTCATGTCCAGCCCCAGCTTGACTTGTGGGTACCTCTGGGCCACATGTGTTGTCTGGTACAGTCTCACTGGTTCTCACTTGAGCTCTGATGCTGTGTGTAAGGGGCTGAAAAGTCTGGCTTCCCCACTCAGCTATCTGGATACACTCTGTAGTCTTATGGTCAGTGTCAGAGTGTGATGCCTTCAGGCCCCCCTGTCCTTCATTTTTCATAGATGAAATAGTGGGGAAAGGATGATCCACAGTGGGAACTGACTTTGTTTTTATCACCCTGTTTCTGAAAGAAGGTTTAGAGTTTCCCTCAAGGAGTTTAAAAAAGTCAACTTTGGAATCGACCCCAGAAATATGCATGGCTGAGGAGGGAAAGTAAAATTGGGGAAGAGGCCATATTTTGGCTTCTCTCAACATATAGAATTTTATGGATTCAAGAACCCTGAGGGGTAGACCCCACCTCTGACTCATGCGAAATCTAATAATATGGGCCTCTAGCACCTGTCGTGTACTGGGATCAAGAAAAGAATGCTCTAGAGTGGTACTCTGGCCGTAAACCCTACCCACCATTGGCTTTTTAGAATCTGTGTTTTCCAGAGCAGTCTGGGAACTCCCAGAGAAAGGCAATGTATTGTCATCAGCCAGCCACGAATAACACACACCTATAGGAATCCTACCCGCAGTGATCTGCCAAAATTTCTTGCTCATATGTAAACTAAGAATACTTTTCATTTGATTCTTGTCTGTGTCCTTCCTTGAGACATTCAATAATTCATTCCCCGAGTGATTCCTTGAATGACACACACAGTTACTTGTCTCCAAGGCTGCCCTCAGACCCTTCACTAGGTGGCATTCTGAGACCCTTTGTGGCCTGTCTTCTGGACTCTTCTCTAGGATATACCCAAGATTCCTCCTCATATCCTTCCTTAGCTGAAACTTTGTTTGGACCCTCTCATGGAAAGTTCCAGGGAGACTCAATTCAGTCTTTGCTAGATCCCTGTTACTATGGCCCTGAAACTCAGAGAATTGTGAGTGAACATGTCTGCCTTTTTGCTGAGAGAGTTCTGATAGTGTATGCTGAGGCTGCATCACTGCTAGGGAGTCTAGATTTCTACAGTCATGGAGGCACCAGCGTGGGATTACCATCCTTGGGCTATGTAACTCCAGTGTCTCCTGGGGTTCACAGATGATATGAAAATGGCCGGGAAGGATGGAGACTGGTACATAGGCATGGGATAACCGGCTAACCAGCGGAAGGTTGGGAGCTCGAGGACAAATGGTTTCTTCAGGTTTCTGGAACACAGGGACTAAAGCCCACAAGTTTTCCTGTTGCTTCTGCAACATGTGCCATCCCAGGTGTTGATTTTCAGTCAAGATAGGAGAGTCTGATTCATTCCTGGATCTATTGAAAGACACTCCACAGTCCCTAATCAGGGATGAAGAAGGTGGTATGATCCGGAGGCAGGATTGAAAATGGGGGTGGGTGTTCACCTTAGTGAAAGGTAGAGGCTGGGATGGGGACTGGGTTTGAGGCATGGATTGGGGGTGTACAATGGGGAGAGGAAGTGGTTGGGAATGAGGAAGTGGTGGAGATGCTTGTATTTTGATGGCAGAGGTATTATGAATTCCATTGAATGAGACAAAGTGAGACTCTAGTGGAGAAGTACTACTAGAAAACAAGAGAGTGGCTACTAAGGACTCACTGTGCAAAGAAGGAAGACCCCAGAAGAGCTGGCTATATTTCTGATGCAAGTTTTCTGCCAAAGTCTTGACATAGAGAAGCTCTTGATAAATAGAGAGCTGCTCTGGTTTGCCTTCAGTGTTCCAGCCAGTTTTGGAGGCTGTGGTGACCTGTACATCAACCGGATGCAACAAATTCCCTAAAGATGTCCTTTGGTAATCTGACCACATTTGTTTGGAAAATGGCACCTCCTCTTTTACTTTCTTCTCTAAAATCTGGAAAGCCATTCTCTTCTCCATTTGTCTCTCCAATAGGGCCTGGAAGATAAGACCAGGGAAAGAAATTCCACTGGCCTCTTTATGTTTAGTAGCAGAGTCTCTCCTGAGACAGGTTTCTGGTTGATGGAGGTAGACTTGCTCTTGGTGAACATCGGAGTGTGATAATGTGGGGAGGAACATGTTCTTGTCATGGGCCTGCCAATAGGTGAATTTGGAACTCGATGGGTTTGAACAGTCACTACCTCTAATTGTTGGGACATAAGTAGATATCTCACCAGGACTATCTGGAGATGAATTCTCAGGAACAGGTTTCAATGAGATGGAAATTGACTTCGATTGAATCACAGTTAAAGGGCAGTCTGGCAGTGGTGAAACAGATGGAGTTGGTGGTACATTATGACAAGCAAATGAATCAGTGGGTTTCCTTCTTTGAGACAGTTGTGGTAAGAGGTTGTTATCTTGTGAAATGGTGGGGTCAAGAGTGGAGATGGTATTCAGAGGTAAAGTGACCTCTTGTCTGAACATCATATGGTAGGAAAGGAGGAAATGCACGGGGTAGAGTTATGGAATAGTTCTCTGGGAATTAAGTATCCTAGGCTTTTGGCTCTAGTGGCAGGGAGTACCTAGGGGTGAGGGTAAAAAAAAGTCACCTAAGGTTAGGTGGTTTAGGTTAGAAGATGGAGGGGATTGGGGGGAAGGCTCAGGCAAAGAGGCTGGTATTAGGTCTCCTGGAGCAACTGCAGAGAAGTCGGGAGACAAAGTGAATGAGGAGTCAGTCACAGAAGCTGTAGAAACCAAGGGGATCACAGAGGGAGTAGCATCTTCCAGGACCTCTGGAACAGCAGCCGATTCACCTCAGCAGTTGTGCTGTTACATACATCACAGAAGGGATCTGGACATAATAGTTGATGAAAGTGGATGGTATCATGACGCCGGCCTAGTGGGCTATGGGAGATAGGATGTTCAAAGTTGTAACCAGGACCAGAACAAACATATGTTACCCTGCCTGGTCTGGCAAAGGTAGCCCCCCACCCACCAACATCCCCAAGACTTTCAAATTCTAACTCTGAGAATTTTCCATCCCATGTCAATTCCAGGCTTCCCTGAGGCCTGAGAAATACATAGACTCTTCTTAAGAGAGGGGTACAGGGAAGAAGGTTATGTTTACTCACCTTTACAGAAGAGAAAGCATCTTTCTTGGCTCCCCCTACTTCTCTCTGGCAAGTTTTCCACCCTGGGAAACCAGGAGAATAATGAATATAGAAGCGAGAGATCTTATAGAAGCCTGAATAGAGAGTCCTTTAAAGATATCCTTGGTAGATTGGACTTGGAGAGCACCAATTATTAGGATATAAGGTCACATGATCAATGATATTAATACTTACATTATTGGATCATACACAGTGGGATTTTGTATGTATTATCTATCCCATGTGATACTGAAAGCCACCTTATGTGGAACATAGGTCAACGGTTACCTCAAAGAGGAAGTTGAGTATCCATGATGTCACAGGTCTTTCACAAAGTCTCAGAACTTCAGAAGTTCTGACCCTTAATGTCTCACATGGCTACATATTGGACAGCACCCATTGCCCAGATCCATCACTGCTTCATGCTCAGTAATGGTCAGAGCAGGGAATCTGAGAAGGGTTTTGCATTCTGACTGCGTTTCCATGAGCCTCTCCTCTGAGGCCTCTGTTTTCTGAGAGGGAATGTACCTTGCAGCTGGCCTCCTCAGAGATCATGGACCTGAGCCCTCATGGAAAGGACAGAAAGGGTCAGCCTTGGAGAGCTCAGGTGGAAGAGGCAGACCCTTACCTTTCAGAGTCCCACCTTTCCTCCTCTTGGCTCTTCCCTGATGCTAGAACGAAAAGAAAAGACTGAGGGGTGAGAACTCATCTCTCACTTTCTCTCAGAAATGGAGACCTTCTTTATCCAAGAACACCAGGACTGTATTTTAATTTATAGAACTTTGTGTTCCTTGCTTTTCTCAACTTTAAGGTTTTATTTTGAACAACAAAGTAGGATTTTGTCTGGGAGGTCCACACTTGATATTCTCACTCAGAAGTTCTTTGTGCAATGAGGACATACATACTGAAGCCCAACAGTCACATCTGTGCTCTCTTAGGTAGACCCTGTATGCTAGGATATAGCTCAGACCCCAGTCTCTTCTCAGAGGCTCAGCGCTGTTCTCCTGATCAGCCCAACATGAAGGCAGGCTTGACTGAGTGATGCTTGACATGGCAGTGTGACTCATGATCAAGACTTGGGAAAATTTGTTTTCTTACACAGACCTCATACTCTCCAAATAACCCAATCCAGAACTGCAGAATCATTGTGTTTGGGATTTTACCCAAGAGCCATCACCATACCGAAATAGACTGTGTGTTTCAAGTGGAAACCTTAGTGCTTCCTTAATCCTTCACTCTGTCAGATCTCCTTTCCTAGAGGAGTTAATGTCTGTTCTTTCCTTAGACTTCCCATTTTAGGTCTTTCTCTGACCCTACCAAACTCATTTAGAAATGTGGGAAGAGGAACAGGAAAATAGTCATTCTCTGAAGGGCAACTTCTGGTTCCAGATCTAACATTTAAAAAGCCTGGGAGTCATCACTTCAGCCTGTGAAAGAAGCAAAATGCTGAACAGACTAAAAATCAATGGCATTTCTTGGAACCATAGTGTCAAACCACTACCTCAGATCTTAAGAGTGTCAATGTAGAAAATCATACCTAAGATTCCCTTACCTGAAACAGAAGGCACTAGGGGCTCAACACTGCTCTCTTGGTAGGAACACTTAAACAGATACTTTGACAAATTGCTGAAGGATGCGTATGGGCTAGTATGAGAGTGAGAAACTCCTGGGGTCACAATCTAATGGGCCCCCCATTTATTTATGGGTTATATTACCAGGGATCCAACCCAACCTGGTTCTCACAGTAAAGAACTACCAAAAAAAAAAAAAGGTGGGAAAAATGCTCTTATTTCTGGCAGGGGAGTGTAGTGTTAGAGAGAAAAGAGAAAGGTAACCGTTTGGAAACATTGGGAAATATTCCCAGAGTGTTTTCCATAACAGAAGTCTACTCGATGGGAAAAGCCTACCAGAGCATTATGACCCATGGAGAAGGCAAATTACCAACTACAGCAGCCCCCTCTAGGCTCCCTTTCTCATCAATAAAGTGGAACAAAAACCCAAAACTTTAAACACTAGCCAACATCATAATCCAGGGACATAAGCCCATTAAAAGAGTAATGATTAATCATATCCCCTCCCCTGACACCTTGCTACAATATTGATAGCTCTGGTGTAGGAACAGGATCGTAGCTAAGAAGAGCTGCAAGGTATAGTTTCTTTTTTTTTTTTTTCCAAGATTTTATTTATTTATTTGACACATAAAAATCACAAGTAGGCAGAGAGGCAGGGGGGGCAGTGGGTGGGGGAGCCGGATCCCCACTGAGCAGAGAGCCAACACAGGGCTTGATCCGAGGACCCTGGGACCATAACCAAAGCTGAAGACAGAGGCTTTAACCCACTGAGCCCCCCAGGCACCACTGGTATAGTTTCTATGTAGGGAGATTTAGGGAAACCTAAAGACACTAGGAGAGACAAAAAGAAGGACACTAAAGGAAACTGCAGCCTCTGATATGCATAGCTACAGTAAATATTAAACATACCCGACACCTAACCAGACTAACATAAGACTTCACATTAAAGGTCTCTTTATTTCAGTTCTGATTACCCAATACATAATGTTTGGCTTTCAAAGAAACCTTACAAGGCATGCTAAATGCAAGAAAAAGCAAACTCGTCAAACCAAGCATCAGGTGCATATTCAGATATGACAAATTTCAGAATTCTCATACATGGAATCTAAAATAACCACGATTATTATGTTAAAGTCTCTAATGGAAAAGGTAGACAACATACAAAAACAGATGATGCATGTAAGCCAAGAGAGGGAAATTCTACGAAAGAATCAAAAGGAAATGTTAGATAAAAAAAGCAGTATGACAAATGAACAATGACTTTGATTGACTCATCAGTAGGTCCATACAGGCAAGGAAAGAATATGTGAGTTTGCATATATGTCAGTAGAAACATTCCAAACTGAAATACAAAGAGAAAAAGAATTTTCTTAATGCTAAAATCTAGAATATCCAAAAACTGTGTTTCAAACTGTATAACAGACATATAATTAGAATACCAGAAGAAGAAAGAACAGAAAAAAATGTTCAAAGTAATAATGGCCAAGGAGTTTCCAAAATTAATAACAGGTTAGTGATACATTGTGGAAGTTCAGAGTATACCAAGCAGGGAAATATTAAAAAAGTCTATACATGGACATATCATATTCAAATGATAAGAAAACAAAAGATAAAATTTTGAAGGAATCCAGAGGGAAATAGAAACCTTATCTCTAGATGAAAAAAACATAAGAATTATGATGTATTATAATAAACCATGAAAGTAAGAGATTGGAGTGAAATGTTTACTGTTGAAAGAAAAAAACACCAATCCAAAATTTTATATCTAGTGATATTATCCTGCAAAAGGAAAAGAGAAATAAAACTTAGACAAATAAAAGCAGGGAATTCATCAGCAACAGACCTGCCCTGCATAAATGTTAAAAGAAGTTCTTTGTTGAGAAGGAAAATAACTCAGATCTACATAAAGGAAAGGAAGAGAAGGAATAAATGAGGGTCAAATAAAACTTTCATTCATCTTATTCTCAACTGACCTAATAATAACAATAATGATAATGTGTTCAGTGATTATAGTTCATGGCTAAGTGAAATGAATGGCATCAGTGGTACAAAGGACAGGAGGAATTGGACACTCCTGCACTATCTATGAAGTTATATACCATTATATGAAAGGGGACTTAGAGTACTTGTAAATGTATATTACAAACTCTAGGACAACCACTAAAATATTTTTAAATACAATAATTGATAGACTAACAAAAGTGAGAAAATATAATTATATATAATGCTTGTTTAAAACCAGAAAAAAAAAAAAACAGAAAAAGCGGGGAAGGATGGGTATAATGAAGAGCAAATAGTACGGACAAGGTAGAGATATTAATCCAACTATATTTAAAAATCACTAAATGGAAGTGGTCTAAATTCACCAACTAAAAGAGGAGACTGTCAGAGCACAGAAAAAAAACAAGACCCAATTATATATTGTCTTTGAAATACTCACTTTAAATATAAAGTACAGATAGATTAAAAACAAAGACACAGAAAAAAATGTATCATGCTAACACTAACGAAAAGAAAATAGGAGTAACTCTATTATTTTGGGCAAAGCAAACTTCACAACAGGAAAATTATCATAGGTAAAGAAGAGCATTACATAACAATAAAGAGGTCAATTCTCCAAGAAGACAGAACACTCCTGAACAGGTACACATGTAAAACATAGTGTCAAAATATGTGAGGCAAAAACTGGTACAATTGCAAGAAAAAATGGATGAATCCACTGTTATTGTTGGAGATTTCCACAGCCCTTATCAGAAATGGGCAGATTCAGCAGGCAGAAAACCAGTAAAGATACAGTTGCCCCAAACATCATCATCAATCAACTTGCTCTAATTGACATTTGTAAAATACCTCATCCAGCCACAGAATAGACATACTTCTCAAGCTCACATAAAACGTTCACTAAGATGGACCATATTTAGGACCAAAAAACACACCTTAAAAATATATAATAGAAATCACACAAAGTATGTTTTCAGACCATCGTAGAATTTTCACCAAAATACCTTATTGTCATCTCTACCAATTTTAAATAATAATGTCATTTTTGTTGGTAGTTATATGTATTTATTTCTTCTCCCCATGCTACCTAGTCATTTAATAGTAGGAACCCTTATGACTTCATTATTTAGATTATTAACTGTTGAAATTAAGCCCTGTATCATTTCCTTACTTGACTCGCCTACATTCCCTAACTGATGAAGGAGGCCCTAGACAATAAGATTTTCAATAAGATGAATGAAAGTTTTATTTGACCCTCATTTATTCCTTCTCTTCCTTTCCTTTATGTAGATCTGAGTTATTTTCCTTCTCAACAAAGAACTTCTTTTAACATTTATGCAGGGCAGGTCTGTTGCTGATGAATTCCCTGCTTTTATTTGTCTTAAGTTTTATTTCTCTTTTCCTTTTGCAGGATAATATCACTAGATATAAAATTTTGGATTGGTGTTTTTTTCTTTCAATAGTAAACATTTATTCTTTGGCCCTAGACACCCACTCCTTTCCCTCCCTTATGAGGAGGGTTTGCCAGTAATAACAGCCTTCTTTTCCTCTCTTAACCTGCATCCACAGCTTCACCATTGTCTCTCCCAAAGGAAGGTACACTTCTAGCCCGCCCCACTTCACATACCCTCCCTTGACTGCAGGACGTATGTCTGTTAAGAAAAATCCCCCCCACATATCTTTGAATTTCTGGAATTGTTTTTAAATAGAAAGTATGGTCTTAACTGTCCCTGAGGCCCTTAGGACTCACAACTATAAAAACATCCTTTAACATCTGAGCAAGATAAGCTCCACCCAAAAAAAATTTCCAGGTGAGAAGGAGTTGTAAATATGGCACATCGTATTGATTTTTCAAACCTGGCCTTGTTCTAAAAGAGGCTGAGAAACTGATCCCAATTAAAGGAAACTAAAGGTACACAGCAACTAGATGTAGTATGTCATCCTATACTAACTCCTGTAAGGAGGTTTACACACATACGCACACACACACACAGGACATTACTTGATAAATTGATAAAAATGGAATTTGAGTGGGAGATTAGTTAAAAGTTTGCATCAATGTGAAATTTACTGAAGGAGATAACTGTGGTGTCAGAGAATATTCTTTTTAATAAGAAATACACTATGGAGGCACCTGGGTGGCTCAGTCATTAAGCGTCTGCCTTCAGCTCAGGTCATGATCCCAGGATCCTGGGATCAAGCCCTGCATCAGGCTCCCTGCTCAGCAGGAAGCCTGCTTCCTCCCCTTCCACTCTCACTGCTTCTGTTCCCTCTCTCATGGTGTCTCTCTCTGTCAAATAAATAAATAAAATCTTTAAAAAAAAAGAAATACACTATGAAATATTCAGGGAGAAAGTGTGTGATGCATGAAATGTATTCTCAATTATTCAAGAATATATGCATAATTTTCCTATGTGTATATGTGTCTTCCTATGTAGAGAGAAGGGGAAGGAGGAAAGGAGAGAGAGATGGTAAATAGGTCAAAATCTTGATAGGAACATCTGGATAAAGGGTATATAGCTTTACCATCTATGGCTTTACCATCTATGCAACTTTTCCACAACTTTATTTTCAAATACATTTTAAAAATGAATTTAACCCAACCTTTGAGATTTCTGACTTTGATTCCAGAAGCTACTACCTCCACCATACTCTGACCCCAGATATGTGCAATGCTAACTTTAAAACAGTTGTGTCAAGTTCTGTCCAATACAAGAAACCTGGGATCCTCTCTGCACATTTGAAACATGCTAACATTTCAATAAGGTTTTACAAAACTGGAAAAGAGCACCCCCACTCAAAAAAAAAAAAGATTTTAGAAATTATATGCAATATAAAACAAACAACAATGAAGAAGAATTCAACATGTTTACTAATGTGGAATCCCTAATTTCTTTTTCTGTAGTGCCACCAGGTTGCTCGTCTTCTGGGTTTTGCAGTGTGAATGATGTGCCAGCACTTTGTTTGCTCTGCTAGTCAGTTACCCGTCCTCCACCAGATTGACATCTTCCAAAAATGTGTTGACAACTTTTGTCCTT